TGAATCAAGTTAGTCTGACAGGCCTAATCAATCGTTTTATTTTTTATTATAGGATTATAATATCTAATAAAAGTTAAAAGTGACCAAAACTTTTTTTTTCTTTTACTTTTAAAAAGGGAGCAAGCCCTTCCCTTATTAAGTTAGAAAGAAAAGCCTTCTGGGGGGTTGGAATCGACACATTGATTTTTTAACAATTTTTGTTGAACCGTATGCATCAAAAGGTGCCTGTACGGCTCCTAAGGAATAAAATTTTATCCTAATCAACCGACTTTATCGAGAAAGATTATTTTTTTTAGGCCAAGAGGTTGATACCGAAATCTCGAATCAACTTATTAGTCTTATGATATATCTCAGTATAGAAAAGGATACCAAAGATCTTTATTTGTTTATAAACTCTCCGGGTGGATGGGTAATATCTGGAATGGCTATTTATGATACTATGCAATTTGTGCGACCCGATGTACAGACAATATGCATGGGGTTGGCCGCTTCAATAGCATCCTTTATACTAGTCGGCGGAGCAATTACCAAACATATAGCATTCCCTCACGCTTGGCGCCAATGAGTTTTTTTTCGAGAAAAATACTATGCCTTCGCCATCGGAAATATGAATTAGTTAAGTAATAATAGCATGGCACTTCGAATTCGATATGAAATTTTTTAGATTAAAAAAAAGTAGATTATATATTGAAAGAGTAGTATGAGATAAGTATGAGATAAGTAAGGGGTATTTCAAATGATATCTTACCTATTATTCGGGCACATCTCAGCGTCACAAACTTTGTTTTCACACCGGAAGCTTATTTACAAAATTTATATATAAAAAAAAGACACTTTGGGATTGCTGAATCATAGACGGATCAAAAAATGATATATAAAGCAACGGAACCATCATAGTATTTTTTTAACTCCGACAAAAAAGAAGGATGGTAATTGGATCATTTATGGATCTGCGTATAATACAACCTATATTTTGTTTTTTTTCGCCGAAAGGAAAGGTCAAAAACGCAAATTCCATTGTAGAGCCGTATGCAATGCACAAAAAAAGCCTGTATGGTTATTCAATTTTCTCTTTTTTTTTTGTTATCTCACCTCATTCTGCGAAATAGAAGAACCTTTTCTATTATATCATCAGGGTAATGATCCATCAACCCGCAAGTTCGTTTTATGAGGCACAAACGGGAGAATTTATCTTGGAAGTGGAAGAACTACTAAAACTTCGTGAAACCATCACAAGGGTTTATGTACAAAGAACGGGCAAACCTATATGGGTTGTATCCGAAGACATGGAAAGGGATGTTTTTATGTCAGCAACAGAAGCCCAAGCTCATGGAATTTCCATACTCGATTCTCTATTAATAAACCAGCTAACGAACCGAACCATAGAGTACTTAGTACCGGTGCTACGGAAAGATATGTTTTTAGATCTCGCATTTGAAATCCTCCTTCTTTCTTCTTTAATTGTATTACATTATATATAGTAATATATATAACTACAGATGTACATGTAGTTAAGAAGGTCTTGTATTTGTATACGTAACCTTCAAAATTATAATTGAAATATTGTCTACTAGAACGATCTTATAGATTCCATTTTCAAATGGAAACGCCTATTTATGTAAAATGGAAATTGAGAGAATTCTTGTAAAAAAAAGTAATTTTTTAATTATATATATGTTTGTTATCTGATATGAGATAAAAAAAAAGCGGGATGTGGAAAACAAGACAGGAATTCTCTACAATGACACTGTAAACCAATTGAAAGGGATGTAGCGCAGCTTGGTAGCGCGTTTGTTTTGGGTACAAAATGTCACGGGTTCAAATCCTGTCATCCCTACCTATTGTGTCAAAATTCCACTGTTCGCAAATAATTGAGCAGCAATCTGAATTAGACCTACCGCACATGAACGCAAGAAGGAGGTAAGTAAAAAAAAAAGATGTTAATTAATCAAAAGTCCAACTGATCACCACGTCTGTATTGTAAATAAGCAGTTACGAATAATCCAGCCAAAGTAATAGGAATTAGACCTAAGACGATTCCAAATAAAGAAACTTCAATCATTTCAATTTTCTTTTGTTTTAATTTTTGAAAGGGAGAAAAGAGAGGTACTATCTATTCCTAGCTCTTAATCTGTATTGCCGATGAATCTCAACGACCAAAATTGGGTAATTAACATTGGGTAATTAACTATCGAACATATGAAATACCATATAAATCTTTTTTTATAAAAAAATCTTCATTCAATTAATTTCAAATAAGTCGTATTTTGCTTAGACCAATAAATAGAACTGAGGTTATAGTTAAAGCCGCTAGTAGAAAACCGAAATAACTAGTTATAGTAGGCATGAAGGGACTCAATAAAATATGTTTATTTATACATATGTTTCTAAAGTACTTCCCTAAGTTTCAATAAAAAAAATATTTATTTTAACTAGATTTTTAAAACTTGTAATTAGCAATTTCTATTATCGTTTACTTTCTAGGTTTTAGGTTTTTCTCTTTCGACATTATATAGAAAATAGAGTGAAAAACCCATCATCTTTGTAGTTAGTTAAAGAAATAAAAAACCTTTGAATTGAATACAATAAAACAACGCACGCATTAGAAATATTTAGTATTATTATTATTTTTATTATTTGTTATTCTTTTTAATTGATCCAAAACGATTCTTCTTTTTCTCGTTACTGGAAATTCATTCCTTAAAATGAAACAAAAAGCAAAAGGGGAGGATCACATTATCATTAAAAAAAAAAATAGCTTCTACAAGTATGCATATACAGCGAAAATGCAATTTATGGTTTTTGGATTCAATTGACTTGGGACAATATGAGAATTTCCTTAATGAATTATTATAATTAGAAACTAATCTCTTGGATTTTAATTTTATCTAATCTTGAGTTTGTTTTATAGTCCAAAACGAATAAAGGATCGAAGTCTCTATAGATTACAGGTACAGGAATTTTAAGAAGTGGGACATGGTTATACATCGACAAGCAAGATAAAAAAAATAATAAATTATCTAACAGCTCATTTCTATACTAATTCAAATTGCGTTGCTGTGTCAGAAGAAGGGTAGCTATACTGATTCGGTAGACTCTAAAAATACCCTTGGTACTTTATTGACGATCTCACAAAGATGTAATCTCAGTAAATTTGAATTTACTTATTCATCTTTTACAGAATCGATTCCCTACGAGAATATCTGGAGTTCACTATGTCTGGAAGCACAGGAGAACGTTCTTTTGCTGATATTATTACCAGTATTCGATAATGGGTCATTTATAGCATTACTATACCTTCCCTATTTATTGCGGGCTGGTTATTTGTCAGCACCGGTTTAGCTTATGATGTGTTTGGGAGCCCTCGTCCAAACGAGTATTTTACAGAGAGCCGACAAGGCATTCCATTAATAACAGGCCGTTTTGATCCTTTGGAACAACTCGACGAATTTAGTAGATCTTTTTAGGAGGACCCAATGACTATAGATAGGACCTATCCAATTTTTACAAAGCGCTGGTTGGCTGTTCATGGACTAGCTGTACCTACCGTTTCTTTTTTGGGGTCAATATCAGCAATGCAGTTCATCCAACGATAAACCTAATTCAATTATAGAGCTATGACACAATCAAATCCGAACGAACAAAATGTTGAATTAAATCGTACCAGTCTCAATTGGGGGTTATTACTAATTTTTGTACTTGCTGTTTTATTTTCGAATTATTTCTTCAATTAAGAAAAGAGCATAGAATAATAAAATAAAAAAGAAAGAGTAGTAATTTTCTTATCCCATTCGGATGGATTATATATCATAATTATCTCTGACTGTTTATGTTTCTAGCATGACTACTCGATGAAATGTGGAGGGAAGCGAGATAAATGGCTGATACTACTGGAAGGATTCCTCTTTGGGTAATAGGTACTGTAGCTGGTATTCTTGTGATCCGTTTAATAGGTACTTTCTTTTATGGTTCATATTCAGGATTAGGTTCATCTCTATGGAAATTGGATGAACTGAGTTATAGACGTGAAAACATAAGAACTCAACGGGGCCCAACTCTTCCTTCTTTGTCTGATTCGAGGGGGTCCCGTTGAACTGTGAATAATCAGAACCAATTTTTATCGTGTTTTTGAAAAGTGAACTTAATTAGATTAGTAGATTGAGAACATATAGTATTTATTAACCTTTCAAAGATAGAATAAAAAAGGGGAATCACTTAATTTCTTTTTCCTGTTTTCCCGACTGACACAATATTTTTTATCAGCAGATTTATTATTCAAATTTTGTCTATACTAATAGTATTCAAATTTTGTCTATACTAATAGTACTTACTTTCTGATTTTTTTAGTATTTCATAAAAATTTAAATAAAAATAAATAAAAAAATCAGAAAGTAAGTACTATTAATTAATATATATATTAAAACGTTATATATATATATAAACAGGAATAGATATGTAAACTAAGAATAGGAATTTTAACGAATGGAATCCAGACGGACAAGATCGACACAATAAAAGGAATTTTAGACATCCTTTTCTTGTGTCGAAGACTAGCAAGACAAATAATACTCCCTATAGCCCCAAAATTAGTTGTTTCGCCGATTTATGGTTCCCTTTTTTTTCTGCGCCTGCTTTCCTTATCTTATTTTAGTATCTAGTTTTAGTATCTAGTCAAATTTTTGCATTCTAATAGAAAAAATAGAAAAAACTCTAGATTATTAATACATTCTATCAATTTCAATTGGTCACTAACCACAGAGTTACATCCGACCCCTTATAAATTTTCAAATTTGTATTGAAAAATAAATAAAAGGGGGTTAAAGTGAATTCTTCTCAATATACATGGACTATGATACAAGTAATTCCTGACACCTAGTCGAAAAGTAATAGAAAATATAAAGAGAGGCAAAAGGCTTTTCATCATTTTTTTTGTTCTTTTTTACGAATTTGATAAAGCTAAATAGACAGACCTAAAAATTCATTTCGGATAATTGAACCTTCTCAAACTGTTTCTTTTTAAGAACCAAAAAGATTTGTGCCAAAACAAGCGATCCTAAGAAAAACAAAAGGTCTTGAACACGTAATGGATCTTGAAGTACTATTTCTGCATCCCCCTGACCAAACCCACCCACATTAGGATTACTCGTTAATGGTTGATCGAGTTTAATGGATTCACCCTCTGAAACAAGAAGTTCTAGGCCTCGAGGGATAATATCAATAACTTGGCGTTCATTCGATGCATCCGCTATGGTTATTTCGTATCCCCCTTTTTCTTTTCGTAAAAATTTGCTTATTATCCCTCCTGCCGTAGCATTATAAACTGTATTGTTACTTTTGCTACCATCAGGATAAATCTGACCTCTTCCCCTGTTTCCACCTACGTATATAGGATATTTTAAGAAGTGAACATCTTTATTAGTAGCAGGGTCTGGGGCAAGAATAGGAAAGATTATTTCACTATATTTTTGACCAGGAACAGGACCTATCACAATAATATTTTTTTTTATTGGGGCGATAATTCTGAAAAGACAGATTTCCTATCTTTTCTTTCATCTTGGGTGAAATACGATTGGGGGGGGGGGGGGGGGGGGGGGGGCTAATTCAAACCCCTCGGGTAAAATAAGAACAGCTCCCACATTCAAAGCTCCCTTTTTACCATTAGCTAGAACTTGTTTTAGTTGCATATCATAAGGAATTTTAACAACTGCTTCAAATACAGTATCGGGAAGTACCGCTTGTGGAACCTCAATATCCACAGGCTTACTAGCTAAATGGCAATTGGCACATACAATACGCTAGGTTGCCTCGCGTGGATTTTCATAATTCTGCTGGGCAAAAATCGGATATGCACTTGAAATAGATGCCCTAGTTATTATATATATCATGAGTGAGACAGATATGGAGCGAGTAATCTCTTCCCTTATCCAAGAAAAAGTATTTCTAGTTTGCATGGTCCAATCATTTATCCCGAAAATTTCTACAATAAAGTTAGGTAGGTCAATAATATACTTCCCTAGCCACAATTCTGCTATTTACATTTACTGAAAAAATAAATTTTTTTTTTTAAATATACAAGGAATCCCCACATGGGTAAAAAGAGTAAAGTAAATACGACTTTGATTTGGTTATGATGTATAAGGTAAGAAATATTAGAATTGGATCAGTGAATCATTTTTTAGTCATTTATTGCATGATAAATCACTACAAGTGACGGAGATACACGATTTAAATAACGAAAGATCCAATATTTAAAAATTGTATCAAGAATGACTGGAAAGGTAGAAACTAGACCAGATAAAATTTGCTCATAATGAGCAAACCCAAAATCTTTGAAGATATAACCAATCATTAGTTCCCAACCGTGAGGCGAATGGAATCCGATACATAAATCAGTTAATAAAAGAATCAAAAAAGCTTTAATTGTATCACTTAAATTATATAGGAATTCTTGAACCCAAGAATTCAGAATAAAAAGCTTTTCCTTACCCCAAAAGGAATAACCACTTAGAATAACGAAAGATATTAGATTTGTCGAGAAGTGCAAGATTGTATGGATACGATACTCATTGTGTATCTTGATGAATTGGATCGTTTCTTTGTGTATTCCTAGACGAAATTGTTGTAAATCGGTTTCTGGGTATTCCTTTATCATTTCATCCAGCTGAAATAGTTCCTCTAATTGTATGAATTTTTCTAGAACACTTTTTTCTTGAATATCATTCAAAAAAGTTTCGGATTGTCTACTATTCCACCAATTAGTAATCCCAGCTTTCAAACTTTTATTACAGCAGAGAGAGATCAACCAGGGCAAAAAGACTATAGATGTAAAAATAAAAAAAGGAATGAATGCTTTCTTTTTTGCCATTTTTAATCTGTGAATTGTTAATGAACCTACCGCATATATATATATATATAATAAAATATAGAAAATGAAAAAATATATATATAATAATAATACAGAATAATCTATACAAAAACAAAAAAAGATAGCTTTTTAAGAATTAAGAATAAAGTGTAGAAGGTTTTTTAAGTCTTTTTTTATCTAACGGAACCTAATTAAGTATCACTTTTCGATTAGGAGAGATGGCTGAGTGGACTAAAGCGTTGGATTGCTAATCCATTGTACAAGTTAATCGTACCGAGGGTTTGAATCCCTCTCTTTCCCTTTCTACTTTTGATGATGTAAAATCCTAATAAAATTTGATCATTTCCACTAATTAAATAAAGTAATAAAAAACCTTTCTTTTTTATTCTTCATGTCCCGGTTTACGTCCTGGATCATTAGATAGGAATCCAAATATGAAGAGAGAAACAAAGAATATAACTACAGTGTATACAAAAAGTTTGAGAGTAAGCATTACACAATCTCCAAGATCTTACTTTTTTTTTTCAAAAACAAAAGAGAATAGATTCTCTATTTTTATACCAAATAGCTAATTTTGATACCAATAAATCCAGTGGTTTATTTTTTTCTAGAAAAATAAAAAAAAAAGTTTCAGCAAATCATTTGTAATCAGATAATAGTAGGGTCTTTCATATTCAAACAGATTTGCATACCAACATTTAGATATTTGTTTTGGTGAACTCGAATCTAATTAGATTCTTAAAAAAAAAATGTTTGAATTGATAGTTCGTTCCTACGTCAAGATTTTTTTGATCTTTTGAATTGGTGGAAGAATAAAAATCATGAATTTTTCTAAGACAGTATTAAGAATTTCATCGAAAACTTACAGCTGCTTGCCAAACAAAGGCTAAGAGAAGAAAGAAAAGCGGTATTATGGGCATAACATCTACGATTGGATTCAAAAAGGCGTAGGCCTCTGGCAATTTGGCGACTAAAAAAGTGCTTGAAAAAAAGGCAGAATTAAAACAAATACAGATCAAATTAAATATATTAAGCATAACAAAAATTGGTGTTCTTGTGGATAATTTTATTTTGATTGAGTTATTAATCTATTTTTTATATAAGGAAAAAATAAATAAAGATAGTCTAAAAAGACTTTTTTGAATTTACTCAATCAAAAATCCTTTTATTCTCTTATGAGAATTAAAGAAATAATATTTTCATACAATATCTTAATTGAATTCTATGTAATGATCAATAAAGTCAGTTTGATTTGCTATCTAGACGTGTCAAAACCCTATCACCAATGTAATCTATATTTAATTTTGTCTTAAATTGAATTGACGAACAACCAGTAGCAATATTACTCTTTTAATAGTCTTGAATAAAAATCGAAATGGGGCGTAGCCAAGCGGTAAGGCAACGGGTTTTGGTCCCGCTATTCGGAGGTTCGAATCCTTCCGTCCCAGAGTAAAGTCATTATGAAATCAATCTTCTATTGACTTTGTACACCATCTTTCTCTTTCTGTTTAAAAACCTAATATTTGTAAAATAAAAAATTTAAATTAAAAGAAGAATCAACTTATTTTTCATAATTTCAACCGAATTCAAAAAGTATCTATTTTCTTTTTTTTTTGTGATGCAGGTAAGTTAAGTAAGGTAGAACCGCGGATTATAAGAGTTTTAATAAAAAAAGGTATATATATATTTATATATATAAATATGGAGTTATATTCAAATTTTTATTGTATATATATATATATATACAATCTAATATGGGATTCATTTTAATTCTGACTGAACCCTTTACGCGTAAATTCACTATTCCATTCATAGAGAAAGAAAAAGTATAAATTACGATATACTGACTGAACTATGACTATTCATGATTCCATAATTGAATCAATTACACAAACTAGAGGAATGTTATGGTAAAACTTCGTTTAAAACGATGTGGTAGAAAGCAACGTGCGACTTGAATTGAAGGACATGATCTGCTGTGGATTTTTTTATCCGCCACTTTTTATATAGGAATATAGGTGCTCTTGGCTCGATATTTTGTATTCTATTTTACTAGAGTCCTACACTTTTTTTGAATATAAAAAAGAGTACAGGATGGAGCTCGAGGAGAATAGAAAGTTTTTATTCCTTTCATAGGAGTAAGGATCCAGGGTTAGTGCGAATCAATAAGTTGGAACAACTTCGTAAGTCTTTTTATTTTTATATTGAAAAAAGCCCTTTACAAGTAATTTTACAATATAAAAGGAAATTTTATTAAAATTGTAAAATTATTTTAATCAAAAGTCTATTATGCGTGAATCAAGCGTTTGTATGATTCTTTGATAGAAATAAAAGAAATCATAAACAAAATAAGGGGCTTGTTGCTGCCCTTTTTTAATAAAACGATTCAAGATCACCGAAGTCATGTCTAAACCAAAAGATTCAAAGTAAGGATAAAAAATCCTGAAACAAGGAAATCCAGTTTCAATTGTTTGAACAACTAGATCAGAATGAAGAATAAACATTTATTCTAAAAAATGAGACAAACAAAAAAGGGTTAGAGACTACTCAATAAAAAATAAAAAGAGTACTTAAGGATTCTCTGTTGAGATATTTGAGAGTTATTTAACTTGAGTTATGAGAGTACGAATGTTAAGAATGCTTTTTATGAAAAAAAAATATTTAGGGTTTCAATACTGTCTAATTGGTTTAATTTTTTTATTAATCTATTTAATATTTTAATTTTATATAGAGAGTTCACTTCTACTCATTGAATTTTTTTCTCGAGCCGTACGAGGCCAAAGCCTCTTATACGTTTCTAGGGGGGGGGGGGGGGGGGGGGGGGGGGGGGGGGGGTATTATTCATATACATCTATCCCAATGAGCCGTTTATCGAATTGTTGCAATTGATGTTCGATCCCGAAGAGAAGGAAGAGATCTTCGGAAAGTGGGTTTTTATGATCCGATAACTAATCAAACTTATTTAAATCTTCCTGCTATTATCGATTTCCTTAAAAAAAGCGCTCAACCAACAAGAACAGTTCATGATATTTCAAAGAAGGCCGGGATTTTTACGGAATTAAGTCTTAATAAAACGAAATTGAATTAATGAAATATAAAAAAGAGGATGTGAAAGACTCATATATAGCTTGGTATAAAATTTTATCTACTCTTCTCTTTCCTCCTCTTTCGTTTCCATCATATTTATTTTTATTTATTTTTAGTATTCTTCCTAAGGTAAGAATACTAAAAAATACCCTGCTAACAACTACTATGTTTTATAATCATAAAAAAATTATGTTTTATAATCATAAATAAATTTATGAAAAAAAATTTGGATGCTAATTTTTGTATAAATAAAAAATTTTAGTGTATAGAAAATAATATGTATGTATATTCATAAAATTAATATTATTAAAATTAATATTATTATATGAATAATTTATTCATTATTCATAAAAAATTTAAAGGCCATACAAAATGGGTTTAAAAAAGTATAAAAATATCTGAGATTATCCTACCTGGCTTAGTTTTCATTCATTGTATGAACTAACAAACCAAGGGGTTAATCTTTTTTATTTCTTTTTTATATTCTTTTCGCTATATTAAAAATTAATAATCATATTGACAACAGTGTATCGACCAAATATAATTCTCTCATAGAGAAATAGATCCATTTATCCCTGACGCACACATGACTGGATTTTTCTTTTTTTTTTCTTTATTCTGGTTGTATCTACATATTTGCAGTACTTTCTTTTTTATTTTTGGGGGTTGCTAACTCAACGGTAGAGTACTCGGCTTTTAAGTGCGACTAGCATCTTTTACACATTTGTATGAAGAAAAGGATTCGTCCAGATCTGCGGTAGAGTTTGTAAGACCACGACTGATCCTGAAAGGAATCAATGGAAAAAATAGCATGTCGTATCAAGGGAGAATTCAGATAATTTTTTTTGCTTTCCTGATCGGTACAACCCTGTTTTCAGTGTCGACAAAAAAAAGGAATTCCAATTTGGGTCGAGTGAATAAATATAAATGGATAGATAAAAAACCCATTTTTCCTGATTCCAGGAAAAAAAAAAGAAACGAGCTTCTATTCGTAATTTGAAAAATTACCCGATCTAATTAAATGTTCAAAATAGATTAGTGCCTAATACGGGTATGGGAAGGGATTTTTTTCTTGCGTGTTATTATCAATTTTTTCATGAGTCCTAATTATTTTTTTTCCTAGTCCGTTTGGGTTAGGTTGGAAATGGATATGTAAAAGAAGCAGTATATTGATAAAAATATATATATGTTTCCAAAATCAAAAGAGCGATTAGGTTAAAAAAATAAAGGATTTCTAATCATCTTGTTTTGTTATTCTATAATATAACGAACAGAAACCTATTAAAAATAGAGAATCCGATTAGCAGTCTACCTGTTTATGAGGTATCTATTGCTTTCGTAATTTAATACCTTATTTTGACTGTATCGCACTATGTGGCATTTCAGAACTCAAGAAAATAAAGACTTTTAGTGAAAATCGAATTTCAATCCAAATGGAGAAATTTCAAGGATATTTAGAGTTCGAGGGGGCTCGGCAACAGAGTTTTCTATATCCCCTTTTTTCGGGAGTAAATTTATGTACTTGCTTATGATCACCGTTTAAATAGATTAAATAGAAATCGCTCCATTTTCTTGGAAAACGTGGATTCTGACAAAAAATATAGTTCACTAATTGTGAAACGCTTAATTTTGCGAATGTATGAACAGAATTGTTTGATTTTTTCTATTAAGGATTTGAACCAAAATACCTCTTTGGGGTATACCAATCTTTTCTATTATCAAATGATATCTGTTTTATTTGCAGAGATTGTAGAAATTCCATTTTCCCTAAGATTAGGATCCTCTTTCGAAGGAAAACAATTAAAAAAATCTTATAATTTACAATCCATTCATTCAATATTTCCCTTTTTAGAAGATAAATTAACACATTTTAATTATGTGTTAGATGTACTAATACCTTACCCGATCCATCTAGAAATCTTAGTTCAAACCCTACGTTACCGGGTAAAAGATGCCTCTTCTTTGCATTTTTTTTGGTTCTGTCTATACGAGTATTGTAATTGGAAGAATTTTGATATTAAAAAAATATCAATTTTGAATCCAAGATTTTTCTTGTTCTTATATAATTCTCATGTATGTGAATACGAATCCATCTTTTTTTTTCTACGCAAGCGGTCTTCTCATTTACGATCGACATCTTATAAAGTCCTTTTTGAGCGAATTTTATTCTATGTAAAAATACAACATTTTTTTAAAGTCTTTGTTAATAATTTTCCGGCGATCCTAGGGCTGCTCAAGGATCCTTTCCTACATTATGTTCGATATCACGGAAAATGCATTATGGCAACAAAAGATACGCCGCTTCTGATGAATAAATGGAAATATTATTTTGTTAATTTATGGCAATGTTATTTTTCAGTATGGTTTTAACCGCAAAAAGTCAATATAAATCAATTATCTAAAGATAATTTTGAGTTTATGGGTTATCTGTCAAGTTTGCGATTAAATCCTTTAGTGGTATGTAGTCAAATGCTAGAAAACTCCTTTTTAATAGATAATGTTAGAATAAAATTGTATAGCAAAATTCCAATTTCTTCTATTATTGGATCGTTGGCTAAAGATAAATTTTGTAATGTATTAGGGCATCCCATTAGCAAAGCGACCTGGGCAGATTCATCAGATTCTGATATTCTCAACCGATTTGTGCGTATATGAAAAAATATTTCTCATTATTACAGCGGATCCTCAAAAAAAAAGAATTTGTATCGAATAAAATATATACTTCGTCTTTGTTGTGTTAAAACTTTGGCTCGTAAACACAAAAGTACTGTACGTGCTTTTTTAAAAAGGTTGGGCTCGGGTTTATTGGAAGAATTTCTTACGGGGGAAGACCAAGTTCTTTCTTTAATCTTCCCAAGAAGTTATTATGCTTCTAAAAGATTA